CTGGGAAGAGCGCGGGCGGCAGATGGCATCCCCGGCTGCGCCCCAGCCGTGCCACACCACTGGGCCTGGAGGCAAGGCTGTTTTGGGTGGAGGGGGAATGGGCATGGACCCGCACGCAAGGGACTTGCTTTTCCGATGGCAACTCGGCAGCTGGGCGTGTGGTTAAACTGCTCGACAGTTGCTAAAGAGCCTCGCCGTAGCCAGGAAACAGATGGCTATGCTCAATAACGGAGCCATCAAACCACATCTTTCCCTTTTACGGCTTCCTCTCGCCCCAAGTTCCCGAACCGGCCACTCCAGCAGCTCCCATCTGTCCCCACCTGCCAGGTCCTCCTCCAAGGCCACGCTGGCCCGGAGTCCCCCAGGTCACCTACCCATCGCATTGCTGTTGAGGAGGAAAACCCCGTGAGCATCTCCGCCCTCCTCCATCAGCAGGTAGAAGGGGTGAGCGCCATAGAGGTTGAATGATTCCTGCAAAGGGGAGGTGCTGGGTGAGAAAGCAGCTCCCAGGCAAAGTGGGAGAGCCCCATGTCACCAGGGGCAAATAAACGGCCCTGGGTTACATCTGCTGCCACCACCTAACCAGGCATCTGTCACCCCCTGTGGAGGACAAGGCGAGGGATGAGGACAGGTTCAGAGCTGGCACTGAAGACCATGGGAGGCTGCTACCAAGCTGGGCTGGGTGAGGGGGAAACCTCCTGCCTTGCCACAACCTGTTGCACGAGCAGCAGGGTGGAGCGGAAAACACCCGGGGCCCTCGGAGTGCATTTTGCAATTGCTCTGAAATCCTCCCTGGCACATATCTGCCTGTTGGCCTCGACCACCCCCTGCCTCTCCCAGCGCTGCTGCCCACCCCTTGCCTTGTTTTCCCAGGGCTTGTGCAATGCACTGGAGAGCGGTACCCCTGTCCTTGCCCCCTGCACCCCCACAGGGAGGGGGGAGATGGTACCGTGGGAGAGACGTCACGGGCCCACAGGGTGAGGGTGTTCCAGTCCAGGCTGTGCAGGAGGGTGCTGCGATGCTCCCCTAGCCCGTAGAGGAACCTGGAGGGGAGCGATGTGGATATCTGGAGAAATTGGTCAGCGAAGATCAAGGGGGCAACGGTGGTGTTGAGCCTGCGAGGGTGATACGGAGGGAGAGAGAGGGTCAAGAGAGGATGCTGGGATCCACTGGGATCCATTTGTCCATCGTAATTGACCCCTTACCTCTCAAAGCATCCCAAGGGTCAGCACAGCAGCATGTGTCCCACCCCACATCCAGCCCAAACACCTTGGCCCAGGTGGCAAATTCAGGTCTGGCTGGATGCGAGGCACAGCCTGAGCCTGAGCCAGCCTGACCCAGCATGGCACAGCCTTTCCTTTGACACCAGAAGTGTCCACCCAGGTTATTATTAACCGCTGAGGCGATATGACGGTGGGGTTTCTCAGCCTGTTGTCACTGATAAGCAGCTCTCAAGTAAAGGATGGACCACAGGCATCAGCAAATGGGAAGGAGGAGGAAAGGATGGGATCTCCAAAATACCTTGGCCATACATCAACCAGCCGTTGGTGCTCACCGACAGCTTAGTGTGGGCAAAGCCATGGAGGTGACAGAGAGCAGTGCAGCAAAGACACCCTCAGTCTTTTTCCTCAAAAAGCCTGGCGCTGCGGGTGTCCCTATAGCTTGGACAGCCGAGGAAACCCAAAAGCAGGTTGAAACAGGCAAAGCCATCACCCTTCGGTGGCCCTTTCCCTGAGCTACCAGGTCCCTTATTGGTGATATTCTGGGGACCTGCACAATGTTTGGCTGCTGTAGGACCTGGTGAGGAATTAGGGCACTGGGAGGTTTTTGGAGAGGTGCTGATGCCACCCAGCCCTGCCACAGCCACAGCAAGCACGTTGCCAGCCCGTGGGGCCGGGAAGACACGTGCTGTCGCGTCCCCACATGAGCACTGTGGGAAAGATGAAGATGAAGACTAATTATTGGCTGGAGATCCCACAGCGTGGTTTTCCCTAAGGAAAAACCTCTGGGAAGTGTGCTGGAGCTTGCCTAGGGTACGATGAGCTTTCCCCCACCCGCTGTGAGATGTGGAGTAGGTGGGTTCTTACAGTACTGTTCCTGTCGCCCTGCGCCGCAGCAGCACGCCGAAGGGGTTCTGGGAGAAGTCCAGGCTGTAGATGGGGTTTTCTGCTTTCTTCATTGCCCGGGGAACGCCGAGGGGAACCTCGTACCGCGGGTTGGCCGCATCCGTTATCTGCAAAAGGGAGAGAACATGCTTTAAAGACCAGCAAAGCAAAAGGGTTGGAGATGCTCACTGGCCACGTGCAGCCATGCCTGGAGCACAGCATCTTCCAGACTCGGTCAGAGCAGGGGACAATCACTCATGGGATGGAGGGTGCAGCATTGCAGGAGCGCAGTCACAAGATCTGGAGGGCAGCCAGCGGGAGGCTCACCTTGATGTGCAGCCGTGTGTCCGTCTCAAACTCCACGTCCAGCCTCAGCATCTCGATGTCCTGTGGGTAATAGGCCTTCTCCCTCCGCACCAGCAACCCCACCATGCCCAGTGCTGTCTGGTTGAGGCTCTCCAGGGTGTAGCTGGGGAAGTCAGGGGGGTAGAAGCACCAGGGCACCCCCCGCTTGCCCCCCGCCAGCGGGGGGCTCTCAATGAAGCAGCACCCCCGGCTTTCACAGAGCTCCTGGGTCACCACCACGCGCCGCTCTGGGTAGCAGTCAAAGCGGTGGCTTTCAGGTACCAGGAGACACTTGGGGGGTGGTGTGGGTCCGGGCCAGCCCCCCGATACTTGCCGCAGCACCCAGACAGTGACAGTGCTCAGCAGCACGGCGGCCACCAGCAGCCCGCTGCCCACCCAACATGGGGCCAGCTTCCCACGGCTGGCAGGCACGGGGGCAGCCCCTTCCTCCTCCACCCGGCATGCCACCGGCTGTGGCACTGTTGTCGTCAGCTTCTGATACGACTTCATCGTCCTGGTGGTGCTGGAGTGAGGGGGAGACAGAGGCAGGCATGAAGTAGTTGGAGGGGGAGGGCTCGCCCAAGTCTCGAGGACGGCTTCCCCACTCCTGATGGCCGTGGTTCAGGCAGAGCCTGCCTGCCTTGGCTCCCCGCACTGTGAAGTCTGCGCCCTCACTTAAGATGGACGTGGCAAACTTGGCAAAGGATGGCTTTGCCAGGGTCGGGTGGTCCTGACCCTGCTGGAGTGCGGGGAGACACTGCCACGTGACTCTCTGATAGCCCCAAGGGACAAAGCGCCACCCACCTGAACCCCACCTGCTCTCAGGGGCTGGCAGAGGCGTCCCTCAAGGAGTTTTTCCCAGGTCTGAATTTACGGGCTGCAGCATTTCTGGAAGCTGCAAGTAAAGCTGAGCTCCTTTTGCCCGTGGGAACAGGGCTGTGGTGCTGGGAGCTGCAGCGCCGAGGTGCTGAGCATCGTCTGCTCCGAGCATCCTCTGCCTTTGCCCAAAGCCCTGACTCAGAGGTTTTAGCCCCAGGGAGGGTTGGGCGAGGGATGGCAGGGAATATGCCATCAATCTTTGCCTCCCACTGATAGAATCTGATTTTAACAACCTCTCAGGCAAACATCTCCTGGACGGTAAGTGGAGGAGACCCCCACGCTCCTGCTGAGAGCGGGGAGCAATCTCAGCACCTCAAATGAGAGACACAACTTTCTTCTCTCCATCTCCCGTACAAGCCACAGGCACTCAGACCCCGCTCACCACCGCCGCGCAATCTGCAAAAGCTCAGCAAAACGGCTCTCTCCCCTAAAAAGCAGATTTTATTCCCCGGCAGCCCTCCCTCAGCTCCTGCACCAAAACGGCTCGACCTGCCCAGGGCCTGGCTCCGCGAAGCGACCCCTGAGCGGCAGCGCCTGCCCCGCGCAGCACCTCAGCCTTATGCAACCGCCCGTCGCTTC